CCAGGCGCCCCCAGAATTTTTAAATTTTAATGTGTTCACAAGCATTCAGGTTTTTTATGGTTTGAGTTTTTCTTGTCTAAAACTTCCTTTCTACCCCAAGTTCTTAAATACACTTTCCCATGTGTTTTTCTAAAAGTTACAAAGCTTTGCTTTTCCGTGTAAACCCTTCATTCATTGCAAATTCATTTTCACACGTTGTGTGAAAGGCCCTGATTTTTCCCACGTGGAGTGACCAGTGTTTCCTTCTGTCCACTGAAGCACGTGGGCCTCCGCTCTCTGCCCAGCATCCGGGCACGTCCTGCTCCAGGCTGTGCCGCCCTCTGCCCTGTTTCCAAAGCCGAGGCGCCTGTTAGCACACGGCACCGCTATTTCCTTCTTCAGAACCGTCTTGGCTGTTCTTGGCCCTCTGCTCTTACGCCAGAATTTTAAGAGCAGCTTAAAGTTCCTTTTTAAAGAACCTTATTGGGGGTGATGGGATTTATAAGTTAACGTGGTGACATCTGACATCTTCACGAAAGTGCGCCCTCCCGCCCACAAACACGGCCCCAGCTCTGTGTTGTGGGCTCCTTCCTGTGTTGTCGTTTTCCCAGTAATAATCGTGCCCGTCTTTCGAGAGGGTTGGTCACAGGTCCTTCTTGTTTTTGTTGAGATCCCAAGTGGGACTTTTCATCCCGTGTTTTAAGTGCTCGCTGAAATGGTTTGTGTGTTGCATTTTCATCCTGCGGCCTTGCTCGCTTCTTGGCGGGCTCCTCCCGCGGGTCATCAACGCCTGCCCGTTAGCAGGTCACGTCTCCTCCTGTGACTCCCCACTCCTTCTCCTCTCATCGCGCCACTGAAATGCCCAGTGGAATACAGACCAGGAAAGGGGGTAGATGGCCCAGAGCCACCCTCCAGCTCTGCAGGTGAGTGCAGGCGGACGCCTGACGCAGATCAGCACGTTCATTGCTGAGATGCTCCGGGAACGCACGCTGAATTTCACCGAAATGTTTCCTTCTCTATTAAATTGGCCATCCTGTCTGTCTTTGACTGTTTTTTTTTTTAATATTTTTTTAAAGTTTATTTACTTATTTTTGAGAGAGAGAGGAAGCAGGGTAGGAGCAGAGAGAGACGGGAGAGAGAATCCCAAGCAGGCTCCTCACGGTCAGTGCAGAGCCCGATGAGGGGCTAGAAACCACGAACCATAAGATCGTGACCTGATCTGAAACCAAGAGTCGGACACTTAACCGACTGAGCCCCCCAGGCGCCCCCGTCTTTGTTACTCTGGACCCTGCTGATGGTATTGTGCACCGAAGCATAGTCGTGTCCCTGGAAGAAACCCTGCGGGGTCACAGTGTGCGGATGGGGTCAGGGGGCCTGAGTTGTACTCCGTTTAATGCGACTATTGAGCTGGCCCTGTGGTTTCTGATCTACAATTCTAAAATCCAAGAAGCTTTAAAAACCAAAGTTGCCTTTTTTTTTTTTTTTTTTTTTTTTTTTTTTTTTTTTTTTTTTTTTTTTTTTTATGTTGGGGGTAAACCGATCTGGCAGATGGCTGCACAGTTAAACGTTTGTGCCCCCTCCCAAATCCATACGTTGAAAGTGACCGGCCGGGGTGATGGTGTCAGGAGGTGGGACTGTGGGAGGTGGTGAGGTCATGACGTGGGATTCGAGCACCCTGGCCACTCTCGCCTCATGGGGACGTGGCTGGAAGACACGGCCGTGAGCCCGGACGCCCTTGCGGGACTCGGAATGTGCTGGACCCTACACCGCGGCCCGGCCTCCCGAAGGCCACCTGACCTTCCCCCAGTGGCCTCGGCCGGGCCGTCCCCTGCCTGGCCCGTCAGGCTCGTTCTTGTGAATACGGCCCGGTGCTGAGGCACCACTGAAGCGTCCTCGTGCTTGGCTATGGGGCACTTCTGGTTCCAACCGTCGTCGTTTCTACTTTGACTTAATCTCTTAATCCGTGAGTTACCTGGGAGCGCCTGTCAGCCCGCCGAGCTCCTCCTGCTCTCCCGCCATCCTGTGCGCACAGGCCTGTGGTCCCGGGTCTTAGAAACCCAGGCACCTTTTGTGCCCCCTACGCGGTCAGCTTTGCTCCAGAGCCAAGTGACTGGACACGTGACGGTGTGGTCACCTCGGGGTCAGCCTCCCCTCCGGGATGCGGCCTGTTCAAATCTGCACACGGCAGGCTGCTTTGTCTGTCCTTCCTATGTCTCAGCGCTAGGTTCTTCGGCCCTTTTATTCTTGATTATTATGTATTTTTGCTGGATTGTTAGTTAGCATTTCTATACCTATTCGTGTTCTTTCCAGAAGTTTTCTTTTTCTGAGAAATCTTGCTCTTCCCCTGTTGGGGGCACAGACAGACCGTCTAACCCCAAGCCATTTCTTCATGGGCTCCGTTTGGTTTCAACGTGTCTGCCGTGAGCAGAGAGCCCACGTGTCTGACTCCAGGGGATGGCTTGTCTTTTAGTTACTGAATGTAGGCCATTTATTATGACGATTTGATGTATTTAAATAGACTTCATCCCGCAACCATTTTTTTTTTTTATTTTTTAATGTTTATTTATTTTTGAGAAAGAGAGCCCAAGCAGGGGAGGGGCAGAGAGAGAGGGAGACACAGAATCCGAAGCAGGATCCAGGCTCCGAGCTGTCAGCCCAGGGTCCGACGCGGGGCTCGAACCCACAGACCACAAGATCATGACCTGAACCGAGTCAAACACTGAACCGACTGAGCCCCCAGACGCCCCTCATCCTGCAACCTCTACTTTGTTCTCTTTGTGCATTTGGAAATTATAAATTAAATTTCTGGGGCACCTGGCTGGCTCGGTGGGTAGAGTATGCAACTCTTGATCTCAGGGTCGTGAGTTTGAGCCCTATGCTGGGCATGGAAACTACTGAAAAATAATAATGGTAAGGGCTCTTGGGTGGCCCAGTTGGTTATGCATCTGACTTCGGCTCAGGTCATGATCTCGCTATTCGTGGGTTCAAGCCCCGTGTCGGGCTCTGGGCTGACAGCTCGGAGCCTGGAGCCTGCTTCGGATTGTGTCTCCCTCTCTCTCCGCCCCTCCCCTGCTCGTCCTCTATTTCTGTCTGTCTCAAAAATAAATAAACATTAAAAATTTTTGAATTAAAAAAATAATATAAATTAAATTTCTGTTGAGTACCCTTAAATTTTTTTAAATGCGTACTATAACACTCACAGTTCTTTTTCCAAGTTTGTAGTTACGCAGTAGGCGGGCCCTGTGGCCAGGATGTAACCTTCCTCCCTGCCCCTCCCATCCTGATACACTTCTAGAGTTTCAGTCTTGTTTTGTTTTGGAAACAAAAATTAATAGGCTTGTTTTTACAGCGACTGGATAAATTTAGTGATGTTTTCTGAATTTCTTGGCTCAACGGATTTCTTGTCATAAATAACGCTCACTGATGTTTT